TGACACACATCAGTTTGGACCATCGACATCAACCGGCACATTGTATAAGCCTGCAACTATTATTTACTACTTGTGGGTCATTGCAACCTAACCATTGACCGACCGCTCTATAGCTCGAGAGGACAGACAAATATAAATGGTCAACGAAAACCAGACAGGTCCATGTTTTTTGAGCTCTCCTCGGCTCCACCTTCCTCCTTGTATTGCATTCAAGGTGGATATAACATTACAGAGATCTAAAAGAAAATTCACGTGTTCCAGATGAGCATTGATGCATGAAGGACTGAAAATGGTAATGGTGATGGATATTCCCGACCAATTAACCCAGTATATCGCTTCTGTAAAAGTATGATTTTTTCTAATTTATCATCGCCATACTGCAACTGCGGATAAATAGTCAATTTGATAGAAAATTTTCAGCGGATCTAAAATTACTTCTATAGTAATGATATCATTTCTGTCTATTTTCATCCCACCATCATGACTCCTTTCTCACATTCTCTTTATTTTCCAAAGCACATCTTGTATTCACCATTGTTCATATTAACCAGTGATGATATTTTCACACCTCAAGCCCCCAACTCAATCCCCATTTGACCTTGTCTGTTGTTACCGTTCGCTAAATTTTGTCGTGCCAATACTCAAAGTGACTAATTACTTGCCACCGCACCCCACGTCAGCTAAGGAAGTGATTGCCAATAATGTGAGTAAGTGCTCTACCACGCCTACTCCAATAGTCAAGGGCAATAGGTTTGGTTTATTCAGTATGCTTTAGATGTCGGAAGCTTGATGAATACCCAAGTTTGTATGTGACCAACTTGCGTTTCGTTCCTGAAATGCATGATAGATATCAGTCCAATGCAGTTCAAGACCACTAGAAAGTTGTTAAGAAAGCCTTGCATTATTTGTAAGGTACTGAGCACTACATGCTAACTTATAGGAAGTCTAGTGATCTTGAGGTCATTAATTATTCAGACTCTGATTTCGGAGGATGCATAGACATCAGGTTATGTCTTCACTCTCGCGGGAGGAGTTGTTTCTTGGGAAATCTCCAAACTGTCAATTACTAGATCATCGAAATGCAGGCTAAGTATATAGCATGTTATGAGATAATCAGACATGTTGTATGGCTCAAGAAATTTATTCCGAGATTAAAAGTGATTGACAGCATTGGTAGACCATTCACCACATATTGTGGTAATACGTTGCAATATTCTATTTGAGTAACAATAAGTCAAACATTACTGGCACAAACGTTGACATAAAGTATCATGTTGTGAAAGAAAAAATATCCAGGTTAAGGTTGAGGTCATAAGCATAGATCCGCTCACTAAAGGTCTACCAACCAACTAATTTAATGAGTATATTGCCGAGATGGGATTATTAGGTGACTAATAAGTATGATTATGTAACATGGGCATAAGAATCAATCAACACCCAAATAAGAATAAATTGATTCCTATAGAGGTATGGTGGCTATAGGCATTGTTGTCATGGTGGTGTTCTCATTGCTTTGGTTTGCTAGCTATTCTGCTTATACTCCCTTCGTTTTAAAATATTTGACGCCGTTGACTTTTTTAAATATGTATGACCATTCGTCTTATTAAAAAAATTTAACTAATTATTAATTCTTTTCCTTTCATTTGATTCATTGTTAAATATACTTATATATATACATATAGTTTTACATATTTCACAAAAGTTTTTGAATAATATGAACAGTCAAGCATGTGCTAAAAAGTAAACGGTGTCAAATATTTAGAAACGGATGGAGTAGTAGACATGTTAGCATTAAGGTCGAGCGGAAGAATATTAGTTTATCTCCTGGCACTGAGCCAGTGAGACGTGTCATGAACACGGCCCACCCACATTCACGCGTTTGTAACGACGAGGAGCAAGTCTCAAACGACTCTAATGCATGCTCCTCATCCATGCGCGATGATCGAACGCATGCCGTTCTCCATAATGGACCAAAGGGAGAGGCTGCTCCGTGCTTAGGTACATTAAGCCACTCTCGAAAACCCTAAACATCGATCATAAGAAAAGCTGAAAGGAGACTGAAGGGCGTTCTCCATCCCCATCGCGCGCCGCCGGTCAGCTCAAGTGGCGGCCAGAAGGTGATGCCATCCACATCGTGAACCTCTACACCTGCACCAACATTGGCATCATGCTACCGTGTCACCAACTTCACCGATGACTACTGCAACAGCTAAGATGGCTTCAATTAGCTTGACTGGTCAGTTCAATTTCAACAATTCCACATGATGCTTAGGTGATTATGTATAGACTAAGGCGAAGTTTGTGAGTCAGCACCGACAAATATGTATAGCATGTAACACTTCAGGAACAAAGAAAGATTTTTACCCCCTTTCTTAAAGAAGTGGGTATGTACTGAGACATATATGGATGAAACCCTTTCGATCTAGATCCAATTATGAGAAAATTATCAGACAAAACATGTCCCTAACTGATTACTCCTTATCCTATCTTCCTATATATTTGGTACCCACTAAGGGGCTTTACTCCTATAAAGCAAGATATGCAAGAAGCCACATCATCAACAATTTTAAGCATTAGATCATATTAGTACAAAGATAATAACCGTTGAATTAAGAAGCTACTTATTCATCCAATTCAATCATTTATTTGTTATTTATTCACCTCCCATTGCTCCACCTCACAGTCACACATAACACTGTTACATATTTTGTGCATAACACCATATTTTTCGAATACAACTCAAATTATTGTTTAATATGTGTGTTTTATTTTATTATGCATGATAAGATAGTATATAATTATTAGGTATCGTTACTTAAATCTATTTTCAGAAAAAAAAACTTGAGTGAAGTAGAGAGATGCAAATTGTCTAACTATAACCATACCCATATTACACATGAAAATAATATATTCATATATATAACAATACACAATGACGCTTAGAAAAATAAAGCATGAATTGTATTATAATAACATAAGGCATATATAAATCCATATTATCATATATTTTGTATATACATTGAGTTGCACCTAACCATTTAAAACTATGATTTTGTTTGACGATAAAACTACGAAACCCGTGGCAAAGACACGGGGTGCCGCAACTAGTTATATACTAATATTACACCGTACCCTAACCTCAAATCATGATCAAGCTTTCCCCCCAAACAAAAAAACCAGACTCTGGGCTGCCGCTCAGAGGCGAAGAGATCGATCGATCGATCGAAATGATCTCCCCTTTGCAACAAGAAGCTCTGTTGCATCAATCATCCACCACTCCCTCCCCTACTGCAGCAGCTGCAGAGAGCTGCACTATCGCGTATGCGCGCGGCTCGCTCGCGCGTCTGCTTCGCCTTATTTAGTTATTTGAGCCGGACCAACCAAAGCGGTCGCTGCATGCTGATGCGCTGCGAGCCTGCGAACCTCACCGGACGGACGCCGGTGAGGTGGCCGGTCAAGCCTCGCTTTTTTTTTTTTTGCTTCCGGCGCCTCTGGGATTCCTCTTCACTGGGACATGGCCAGGCCAGCTTGGGTGGTGGCTTTGAACGCTTTAGTTTTGCCACCTCACTTGCCTGCTGCCTTTGCCCCCCTCTCTCTCTCTCTCTCAAAAGTGATTTCATCCCTCGAGGGGATATCCCCTTGTTTTGTGCATGCCACATGAATAGTCATCAAAAAATATGAAAAAATTGGCAATATAGATTAATATGAAATATATCACTCCACGAACATGCAAGTTTAAATTCAACTTCTACAAGTTGTAACAAAAATAGCAAATATAGTTGCGAATGTGCGATAACTATTTCCAGTTTAATTTGTTATTTCTGTTGTAACTTGTAGGAGTTGAATTTGATCTTGCATGTTTGTGGAGTTATATATTCTATATTAATCTATGTTGTCAATTTTTTTAACTATTTAGATGAAAATCCATATCCCCCCTCTCTCTCTCTCTGCATTTTTTGCATTCTGAAAGCCCTCTCAACCCCATCCCTTGCTTGGATCTAGCTCATTCCTTTTCTTCCTTTTTTCCCACTGTTTTTAAGATTTTTATTTTCAACGGATCTTTTTTTCCATTGAGAATAATATTTTTTTCATGCTATATTCCTTTCTTATGCTTGTTACATGAAGATAAAACTGTCTGAATTGATCCTACTGTTGCAAGAAGACCAAGGCTGCGTTCTAAACAGAGAAATGTGACAAAACCATTAGCACATGATTAATCAAATATTAATTATTACATGCTTAAAAAATAAATTTGGTTTGATTTTTTAAGAAACATTTGTATAGATAACTTTTATACAAAATACACCGTTTAGCAATTTGAGAAGTATATTCATGGAAAACGACGTAGTAGCCCAGACAAGACGAAGGCAGCCTAATCTTTGTATCATTAGTTCTTGTGTTCTAATTGTAGGAAAATAGTAACATTTTTTTTAGATAATGAGGAAAATAGTAACATCAAGCATGTAATTAATAGTAATGCTAACATGAAATGGCTGCAAGGACATACTCCTACTAGCCAATAACACTTCTGTTCTGTCCTCAGAAGCAACCAAATGATTTACCTACACTTACAATATTGAACCACACATGCACATACTCAAATGCAACACAACAAACACATTGATTTGCTACCTCTTTTAATCATTGCCTAAATTCACAGGGCGATGTACTTTGATGGAGACCGGAGTGCACCCCCTCTTTTCCTGTCGGGCCTTCGCCGTGTAACGTCATAATTGAACAAAAACCCTTTCCAAATTGCCCCCCACATAACCAGTTGCACAATTTGAAATATATAAAAACAGAGAAGGAGATTTGAATCGAAATGCTCTCAAAAAATATTCAAAAGCTAGATACAATCTCTCCCTCCCTCCTTGCTTGCCCACTACAACAACAGTTTTCTTCTCTCTCTCTCTCTGATCAAAAAGAAAAGCAAAAGCAGGAACTGAAGAGAGAGAGAGAGAGAGATAAAGAACAAAAAACCAAAGAGAGAGAAAAGCAGAGCAAGAGTAAGAGAGAGAAAAAGAACATAAAACACAAACTGATGAACTGAGCCCAATGCACTACTAGCATTGTAGTAGTAGTACTAGAGAGTAGAGACACCCTTCAACCACAAGGCATATATATCTCAAAAGACAAAGCAGTTCTTGCCACACAGAGAACATATTCCCTTCTCCCCCCTAATCTCATCTCATCTTCAACGTGAAGCTTCATCTTCTCACCTCCATAATTTTCCTCTGAAGCTTCTCAAGATTCTTGCATGCCTTTACCTTAGTACTACCTCTCTATATCTCACTGAAGCAGATAGATAGATTGATAGATAGATAGATAGATAGCTTCCAATGCCATTGCCAATGGCGGCAGTGTAGATTTGATTAGCTTGTCAAAACCTCGGCTTCTCACCAATGGCGTCGTGTCGTCGTCCTGCTCCTCTTCGCCTTGTCGTGTTCTTGGCCATCGTCTTGCTGCGCTGGTCGACCAATGGCAACGCCACCGCCGGTGGCGACGACGCGCTGCGCGGCGACGCGCTGGCGCTGGTGAGGCTCAGGGCGTCGCTGCGGTGCCACGCGCACGCGCTGCGTGATTGGTCGGCGGGCAATGTCGCCGCCGTGTGCGCGTGGACCGGGGTGCGGTGCGCCGGCGGCCGGGTGGTGTCGGTGGACGTTGCCAACATGAATGTGTCCACCGGCGCGCCCGTGTCGGCGGCGGTGGCGGGGCTCGACGCGCTCGCCAACCTCTCGCTCGCCGGGAACGGCATCGTGGGCGCGGTGACCGCGTCCGCGCTCCCGGCGCTCCGGTTCGTCAATGTCTCCGGCAACCAGCTCGGCGGCGGCCTCGACGGCTGGGACTTCGCGTCGCTGCCCAGCCTCGAGGTGTTCGACGCGTACGACAACAACTTCTCCTCCCCGCTCCCCGCCGGCGTCGTGGCGCTGCGCCGGCTCCGGTACCTCGACCTCGGCGGCAACTTCTTCTCCGGCGAGATACCCGCGGCGTACGGCGGGATGGCGGCGCTGGAGTACCTGTCCCTCAACGGCAACAACCTGCAGGGCGCGATCCCGCCGGAGCTCGGCAACCTGACCAGCCTCAGGGAGCTCTACCTCGGGTACTACAACGTGTTCGACGGCGGCATCCCGCCGGAGCTCGGCCGGCTGCGCAACCTCACCATGCTGGACATCTCCAACTGCGGCCTGAGCGGCCGCATCCCGCCGGAGCTCGGCGCGCTCGCCGCCCTCGACACGCTGTTCCTCCACACCAACCAGCTGTCCGGCGCCATCCCGCCGGAGCTCGGCAACCTCACGGCGCTCACCGCGCTCGACCTCTCCAACAACGCGCTCACCGGCGAGGTCCCCGCCACGCTCGCGTCGCTCACCTCGCTCCGGCTGCTCAACCTCTTCCTCAACCGCCTCCACGGGCCCGTCCCCGACTTCGTCGCCGCGCTGCCGCGGCTGGAGACGGTGCAGCTGTTCATGAACAACCTCACCGGCCGCGTCCCCGCGGGCCTCGGCGCGAACGCGGCGCTCCGGCTCGTGGACATTTCGTCGAACAGGCTGACCGGCATGGTGCCGGAGATGCTGTGCGCCTCGGGGGAGCTCCACACCGCCATCCTCATGAACAACTTCCTCTTCGGCCCCATCCCCGCCTCGCTCGGCTCGTGCTCCAGCCTCACCCGCGTCCGCCTCGGCCAGAACTACCTCAACGGCACCATCCCCGCCGGCTTGCTCTACCTGCCACGCCTCAACCTGCTCGAGCTCCAGAACAACCTGCTCTCCGGCGATGTCCCGGCGAACCCGAGCCCGGCCATGGCGGCCGCCTCGCAGTCGTCGCAGCTGGCTCAGCTCAACCTCTCCAGCAACCAGCTGTCCGGACCGCTGCCGAGCTCCATTGCCAACCTCACCGCGCTGCAGACGCTGCTCGTCAGCAACAACCGGCTCGCCGGCGCCGTGCCGCCGGAGGTCGGCGAGCTCCGGCGGCTGGTGAAGCTTGACCTGAGCGGCAACGCGCTGTCCGGGACGATACCGGCGGCCATTGGGCGGTGCGGCGAGCTCACCTACCTCGACCTCAGCAAGAACAACCTCTCCGGCGCGATCCCCGAGGCGATCGCCGGGGTACGCGTGCTGAATTACCTCAACCTGTCGAGGAACCAGCTCGAGGAGGCGATCCCGGCGGCGATCGGGGCGATGAGCAGCCTCACGGCGGCGGACTTCTCGTACAACGACCTGTCCGGCGAGCTGCCCGACGCGGGCCAGCTCGGCTACCTCAACGCGACGGCGTTCGCCGGCAACCCGAGGCTGTGCGGGCCGTTGCTGGGCCGGCCGTGCGGCTACGGCGGCGGCGGCGCCGCCGCCGTGGGGGCGGGCGGGTCGTCGTCGGCGCCGGTGGTGACGACGCGGCAGCGGGCGGCGGGAGGGGACTTCAAGCTGGTGCTCGCGCTGGGGCTTCTGGTGTGCTCGGTGGTGTTCGCCGCGGCGGCCGTGCTCCGCGCGCGCTCCTGCCGCGGTGGCGGCGGACCCGACGGCGGCGGCGCGTGGCGGTTCACGGCGTTCCACAAGGTGGACTTCGGCATCGCGGAGGTGATCGAGTCAATGAAGGACGGGAACGTGGTGGGCCGCGGCGGCGCCGGCGTGGTCTACGTCGGCCGCACCCGCTCCGGCGGCTCGATCGCCGTGAAGCGCCTCAACACCTCCTCCTCCGCCGCCGCCGCGGGCGGCGGCGAGGCGGCGCGCCACGACCACGGGTTCCGCGCCGAGATCCGAACGCTGGGCAGCATCCGCCACCGGAACATCGTCCGCCTCCTCGCCTTCTGCAGCCGCCGCGGCGGCAGCGGCGGCGGCGAGGCGGCGAGCAGCAGCAACGTGCTGGTGTACGAGTACATGGCGAACGGCAGCCTCGGCGAGGTGCTCCACGGCAAGGGCGGCGGCTTCCTGTCGTGGGATCGCCGGTACAGGATTGCCGTCGAGGCGGCGCGGGGGCTCTGCTACCTCCACCACGACTGCTCCCCGATGATCGTCCACCGCGACGTTAAGTCCAACAACATCCTCCTCGGCGACAACTTCGAGGCGCACGTCGCCGACTTCGGCCTCGCCAAGTTCCTCCGCTCCGGCGGCGGCGCCACCGCCTCGTCGGAGTGCATGTCCGCCGTCGCCGGCTCGTACGGCTACATCGCCCCAGGTACGCCCGCCCACGCGTTGCACACCTTCACGTCGCACAAATCGTACGGTCGCGATTGACTTAGGAGGAGAGAAAACGATCCCGACCGTCCGATGGATCAATCCTGATCCGCTTGTCGCTGTCGCATGCAGTCAGTGTGTAGCAGCAGCGCTGACCACTGACTGGCGCTCTCCTCTGTCACTGGATTGCGGGTCCCACATATCCAAAGTCAAAACAAGGGAAACTTTGCCAAAAACTGCTCACATACTAGGCACATAGTACCAGTTTCATTCTAAACTGTTTGATTTAGTTTTGAAACTATATTTAAAATTTCGGGTGAATTTTGTCAAAGAGTCAAAGGTAGGGTAGGTTTTGAATTTGTGGTAGCCAGCACTGCAGCGGGCGCAGATGCAATCTGATCTTGAACATGACAGACGCCGACGTGGCACGTAGCAGGTGTGGGGCCCACGGAGGGGGGGTTTGGCAGAAGCTGTAGGAGTAGTAGGAGGGTGGTGCACTGAACAGTGGGCCCGTGACCGAAAGCGGCCAAAAAGGGGTCCTCTGGTCAGGCATGCAAAGCACTCGAGAGCCCAATAATTTTTCGTGGGTGGGTGTGGGGCCCACCGGATAGTGACCTGACGAGGCGGTGGACCCGCGTTGCCAGTGGACACACGGCCATGCCGCCCCATGCAGCGTTGTGGACGGCGGCGTGGCAGTCCAGCAGAGCCATTGCCACAGAGTAGCAGTATTGGACTTGCCAAAAGAAAACCAGCAAGTAGCAACTCCTCCTAACAATTACTCCTTCTGTTCAACATATAAGCGATTTTGAGTAGATGTGATACATTTTAATACAATAAATTTGGACAGAAAAATTATTTAGATTTATTGTATTATATTATATCATATTTCACTAAAATCCTTTATATTTGAAAAGAAGGGAGTACGTCGAAATCAGGATAACCCTGATTCAACGTTTCTGCGAGTAACATACATACGAGCCATCGAGATGATAATTAGATTTTATATTACCATTTATCGGTTAGAAACGACGGCGATATTCAAAGGGGATACAATTTCAGTACATATATAGATCATCGGACAAAGGTGATTTGTCTGTCGATGATTTTAGCGGATACACTTAGCATTGGTCCCGGGTTAAGGGAAGAGATGAGAGAGCGACCGAGAGCTTTTAGGGTTCGGTTACGCTAGCTGCTGCATCTTTGACCGGCATGGGGCTTAACCCAGTAAAAAAGCCTCATCATCTCCTCTTCTTCTCCTCTCCTGGGTTTTCGCCAAAGCGTCTCGCTGTTACGTCGTCTCCAAAGCTATCAAACGGCACGCCGGTTGCTGCTTGCTTGCTTCTGCTTTTGAACGGCACAGTATATGCTACAGCTTAGCTAGCTAGGCGCCTTCGCTGTTACGGTCACGCACTTTGCTTGCTACTTTTGTTTTTAATTATCTTTTAGAGCAAGTTTAATAGTATAGCCAACTACTATCTCCAATTCATCTATAGTTAATCTAATAGCTTATTCATACGATAGTTACGTACTACACTATTAATACCTGGTCCCACCTGTCATACACACACTGCGTATTGGAGTCCGTGCTATAGCCGGCTACAAATCTGTAGCACGCTGCTTTTCTCTCTCCTTATTTATCTCTTTAAAATATGTTTGCAGCTGACTTATAGCCTGCTATTGTACCTGCTCTTATACTTTGGTTAGTTTAAAAACTGGGTATTTGGGGGGCTTGGATTAGTGCAAGTATCCTAGGTGAGCATGGGCTTTGATACAGACAGGGATTTGGGCGTGGGATGGATTGGATGGGTGATCTCTCTTGATCCATGAGAAGAATTTTCCTTGGATTTTGGGGAGTGTTGGTAGGATAAATTAACAATGGGGGTTAATTAATTTGTTAATGCAATGTTACGGGATTGAGATTCCAATCAATTTGATTATGGGATGGTACTGGTACTACTAGTGTACTTACTATACTCCTGTAGGCATTTCTCTTGGGATTCGTTGCAGAATGTTGCGTGCACTTGGTTTTGTCCTTGGTTTCTACTATGAATATATAGGGGGGGCAACTGCTAGGTTACTGTTGCTTGTGTACTAATCAAATCGGCAACTGAGATACACTTAGATTTCGTTTCGCACGAGAGGGGGTAGTTTATACCAGAAGGTGCCATGCATCACGTTTTGGACTGGTCCTAGCTGGCCCCCTCCTTAGCTTTTGTACCTTTCAACATTGGGGTTTTTTTTACCAGTTTTACGGATATTTAACTTTTGCGCGTGGCTAACTGTGCGGTTTTGTTTTTACAGAGTATGCTTACACTCTAAGGGTGGACGAGAAGAGCGATGTCTACAGCTATGGAGTGGTCCTCCTGGAGCTCATCACAGGGCGGCGGCCCGTGGGGGATTTCGGGGAAGGGGTGGACATCGTGCAGTGGACGAAGAGGGTCACCGATGGCCGGCGGGAAAGCGTGCACCGGATCATCGATCGCCGGATTAGCACGGTGCCTATGGACGAGGTGGCGCACATCTTCTTCGTCTCCATGCTGTGCGTCCAGGAGAACAGCGTGGAGCGGCCGACGATGAGGGAGGTGGTGCAGATGCTGTCCGAGTTCCCCCGCCACGGGTCGGACCAGCCGTCACCGTCGTCGTCGGCACCGGAGACGGGGGAGGAGAGCAGCCCTGAGAAGGAGCCCAACTGCTACAAGCTGTTCCCGGACTTGCTGACCTAAGTTGAGAGCAAAGTACCTGTTCTGGTGATGGGGGCACAAAAACACAATTCATTTGCCATTGTTACAGGACTTGGTGGCATGAAAGGACTGGAGTAATTAAGTGGTACTAATTGAGAATTTGGAGCCAGCATTCTAGTGCAAGTTTGTTGGTAGGCAGACAGTGTGGTGGTGACAAGAGCTGGGGAGGAAGATCAAATAACATATGTATAACTTTTGTAACTTTATTTTCTTTCATCTCCCTCTTTTTTTTTTCCCTAATTCTTTTGTCATCAAAGGTGTATAGGGTTTGATCATATGCTACCTTCTAGGTGATTGTGCTGTCCAATGTAATAGTCACTTCCATGATAGCTTTAGCCCTTTGTAATCTCCTGGTAATCTTGAGCCACCATACATTGTCATCTCCTTTTACACTAGTTTCCTCTTTATATGCTCATTATGTACTACTACTGGTTCCATATATACTATAGTTCATGGCTTTTTGTATTATTCAAGCCAATTTTGTCATCAAGGGGGGTGAAGTAATCATCTGTTGGAAGATTCTTGACTAGAGCTTTGGGTTCAGGAAAAGTGAGAAAAAGAAAAGAGAAGTACTTGACAGTCTTTGAAAAACAACCCAAGTCCCAAAGCTTAAAGCAAGCCGGACAGTGACTAAATTGAACAACTTTATCAAAAATAAAGGAGCCAGTGTAAAACATCAAGAGAGAATTTTTGAAGAAATATCATGATGGATGGATGATGCATGGTCTCAGAGGTTCAGAGGCTTGCAGTGTCGGTAGCTTGAATTAGCTTCAGAATACGTACAATATTGAATTTATTTTACTGATTAGGTATAGATGTAATGATGAAAGGAAGTCCAAAGTTGCAGGTTCTAAACAGAACTGATCTGTACCCTGTTCATGTATCAAAACTGGTTGCCTTGTTTTTCATCACTTCTAGTACTGTTTTCTCTGGTCACTGCAACTTTGGCCCTTGATACACTTTGTTAGAGCATTCTCACTTATGCACCTCAGTTCTTTAACTTTGTACTCCAATTCCAAGTGCAAGCCATTTTAGCCTTCTTAACTCTTGCCTAACTGTAAATCGTTTTACAACTTCTAAACACTTTTCAATCTTTTCTTCCATATTTGCTATTATCAAATATATGTTGTCCTTCTCGCCATTAACTGAGTTATCAATTCCAGTGTAGCATAAATGAAGCCTTGAACGGCAACTAAACCAAAGACTATTTTCTTAATTTCTATCTACAAATCTAGAATGACTTATATTTGGAACAAGATAGATTAGATGAATATCAGTGACCAATGGAAGTAGAAAAAGAAAACAATTCTGAGGCCCTGTTACGGCAAAGAACGACTACTTGTTGGGACCAGTCCCTTTTATCCCAAAATTGAGGACAAGAAAGCTGCTCACAATTCAGTTATTGTTCACTAAATGTTCGTCAAAATATCAAATTCTAATCGCACCATAAGAACCTGAGGGCCAGGAAAGGAAAATATCTCAGTACAGAAAAGTATAATCAGAATTTGATGGTAAAAGTAGCAAACAGTTCAACTAGATAGCTTAGACAGCTAAGAACAAACACACTGTCTTATCTGAAAAATTGTATAGTACAATTATAGTTGTGATATGTACCAGACAAGCAGAAAGAATATGCCGCAGGAGACAGGACTATCAATTATTCAAGAAAATACAGCATACAAGGGTATCTTAGATTACAAGGACAGATGCTGGATGAAAAATTCAGACTTGGGATCTTTTTCAAAGACTGGCAAGTATAAACAGCTACTTCCTCTTGCCATAAAAATATAAAATACCTTTTCTATTGGCAAACTCCATGATTTAACATTTTGCCTTTGTCATTTGGAAATAATATGCTAGTATAATTTTTTTGAGATTGCATACTCTGAAAGCAATTTTACTTCAAAAACAAACATTTTAGTAGCCGGACAGAATTGTTTGATCTGCACTGATATAAATTCCAATGTTTTCAGAGTACATAGAGAGAACGGTTGGCCATGAGCCCATGACTAGCTAACATGCCAAAGCAGATAACATTTGAAATTTGACCATCACTAAAATGATACAAAAATGCACCATTCTCATTGTACTACAGGAATGAAATCTACTCAGCTTCTTACTAGATCTGCTGTAGAGTATGAACTACTAGATGCAGACCAGGGTGTCAAAACTACAGAACAAGGAAAACTCTGTTGGTAAGACATGCATGCATGGTTGTTTCATTCTATTGTCGACCAACAAGAACATCTTTGATCATGTTAATCAATAAAAGGGAAGGTCCAGTTTTCATGGAGAGGCAATCTGGTGGCGATCGGGAGGCGAGTCTGGGTGTTAATCCCTCTTCTGCAAAGATTTGATCTGCCTATGGCGGATCTATCTTTCGCCGATAATTGGGATTTCTCTCCCGGCGAAGGTTTTGCAAGAGAAGTCAAGAATCGCTTTTCTTCCACTGTTCATTTCTCCCCAGGTTTCTCAGATGTTCGTCCTTTCAAGTTAGTGGTTTGTTTCTCTCGTTTCAATTTTCGCTTGTCTGAGGAATCAGTGGCGTTGGCCCTTTGTTGTTGCCTGGGGGGTAATCCAAATGGTTTCCATGTTCGCTTGCTCCAAAATAATTGTTTTAGCTTTCTGGTTGCAAATAAATTTGTTGGCCTTCTTTATCTATTCCCTTAAGTCTTATTCTTGCCAACAATTTCATTTGTTCTTCCATCTTTGGCGGAATGGAGGTCCAGATTGGTATAAGAAGTACTCTCAATGGATCATTGAACAGGATAAGGAATGGACTACTGTAAAACCAAAAACTAGATCTAAATCTGCTTTGGTTAAGCCTAGAGTTTCTTTTGCAAAAGTAGTTCGTTCTAAACAGGTTGAAACTCCTTTTGTGATCCCTGTGAAAAAAGCTTTTGACTCCTTGAAAAAGAGCTTTTCAGTTCATAGACCTTCTGATAAAAAAGATTTGGATCATCCGAACAGTACTTTTTTGAGTCAAAAATCTATCCCAATTAAAGATCGACTCAATTTTGATGTGCCAAATCGCACTTCAGTTTTTGACAGATTGCAATTTCCGGAGAAATCCCCAAATCGCTCTAACTCAGATCTTTGTTCCCATTGTTTGTGGCAGGGACATGGGGTTTCAAAGTGTTCCAATCCTGTTCGGTGCAATTTTTGCTTTCGCTATGGGCATTTGGCCCAGCATTGTTTGGCCTAGAAGAAGAAGTCTAAATTCCAGTGGGTAGTTAAAGAGTCTTTACAGCGAAAAGAGGTAAATAAATCAATTATACCAAATTCTTCGGCCACTACCTCTCGGCAGGTTTCTGCTCATCTCGAAAAACACAATCCCCAATCTAATCTGCTAGAGAAAAACTCCGCCATGGCGAACATTGTCCTCAACCCAGGACGTTTCCTTGAAGCTGGACAGCATGTCCAAGATGGGAGCCCTAATCGTCTGCCTAGGGCAGACATCACAGTGCCTGCTCCACAAAAACAACATGAAGCCTACATGCTAGCGGAGATTGAGCCCCAAGTTCATGAAGATGAATGGGATGTTCATAGATTGCAGATTCGAAATCATCTACAGAATGAACTAGGTATAATGGTCACTCATTGTTCTCCGCATCCTCTTGGTGTTGGCCTCTTTGCTGTTAGAACCACATTGATTAGAGATACTCTGGTTGCTGCTTTTGGATTCCATTACAATGGAGGGCATGTCGTCAGGTTTGACAATCATGACAAGGGTATTAATTGGAGGGTTGCTCATGCTGATAGAGTTGGTTGGATCATGTTTCTTGGGTACCCCCTAGATTTTCGCTCCACAAGTTATATCTCTAGGGCAGTGGGTCTTTTTGGCAAGCTAGATTACTGGCAGGAGGTTGATGCTATTCCAGTAAGAGTCCTCTTGAGGGCATATTTTGATGATGTTGATTTGGTTCCAAGGAGGATAGTTATTAAACAGTTCCCTAATCAGGGTGGACAGGGTGAATCTTGGACCTTTGGTGTCTTTGTTCTTAACAATGAGTTTGCTGACCTGCAACCTCAAGATGAAGATTTGCCACATGTTGGTGCTCCACCTCCCCCACCTGACCCACCTCACCATCATGGCCCTGCCTGGGATGAGATTAATCATCATCATGGAGATGAAGGTGCTTGGGGAAATTGGGAGCAGTAGGCTAAGAATCAACCTGGTTCCGATCATTCAGGGCTAAGTTCACAGGGTGCTAGTGCAAACTTACAGATTGTTATTGCTGCTAGCACTGATAGTTCTCCTCTATTTACTATTTCTCCTGAGATGCAAGGAAAGATTGATGAATTTGTTCTTAGGATGAAGCTGTTGAAATCTCTTCAGAACAAGACACACATACCTTTGCCTATTCAAAATGCGGCCCCTTTCACTCAACTTCTATACCCCAAGAGGAAAGCTTTGTCTGTTTACTCTCAGTCAGTGTAGCCAGTGGTCAAAAGGGCCAACTTGAATGAATCCTCTTCCTGGGCCATGGAGAAAAGCCTATCTATAGATGTAATACCAAGCACAAAAGGCCCTATCTTGTCCCCAATTCCTCTGGCTATTTTGCCTCCTTCAGGAGTTCACTTGGATTCAGATAAGTTTCTCTTGGCAGGCCCTGAGGTTTCTGTTGGCAGGAATGAGCCAGTTTCTTCGGTTGCTTCAAGCTATGATGCTCTGATTCTTCCTAAGGCCCCTGTTAAGAAAAGAGATGGTAAAACTATTCTTTTTGATCCAGTCAGGAGACAGAGCTCCAGGTTGAGGGCTTTATCTACAGATGTGGCTGCAGATCCTAGGATGGGGATAGGAAAACCTAGAGGCAAATCTGCAAAGAAACTGAAAGAATTGGCAGGTATTACAAATCTTTTATCCTCTGGCAGTATTCTTAAGGAATCTGATTTTGCTTCTGATGTTCATTCTGAAACTGATTCCACTCCATCTGATTGTTCTGTCTCGCTGTTGCAAAAGATGGGAGTCGAGATGTGCGGCCTATCTCTTGAGGAGGTGGCTGAAAGCAAGCTGGGTGGACAGAAGTTGGACTTGGTGCCCAGGCCTGCTAAAGATGAGGAGTAGTTTAAGTTTCTTTATGGCAGTCTACTTTGGAACTAAATCTATGTTAAGTGTGTGGTTTTTCTATGAACCTTGTGTAATGACAGTTATTGTTCTCAGCTGGTTTATGTTTTGTAAGGTTGACTGTCATCTGTCCCTATATCAGACTAGCTTTGCTTGTTCTGTCCCCTTCCTGCTTTCATTTTTTGGATCATGAATCAACTTCGTAGTTGGAATATTCTTTGTTGGAACATAAGGGGTATGAACTCTGTTGAGAAGTGGGATGCTCTTAAGTAGAATATTGACTATAGTAACTGTCAAATAGTTTGTCTACAAGAAACTAAAAAGGAAAATGTTGACTCATCTTTTCTCAGGAAAGTTATGCCCAAAAAATTTGACAGTTTTCTTTTTGTCCCATCTCGTGGTGCTTCTGGGGGAATTCTAGTTTGTTGGTGTGATTCCATTTTCAGGGGAACTTTGCTATCCTCCAATAATTTTGCCCTCTGCATAAGCTTTACCTCCAGGCATAACAATGATAGTTGGTTTCTAGCAGCTATTTATGGTCCTTGCAGAGGTCAGGAAAGAGATGTTTTTGTTAGCTGGTTACAGTCTTTCCAATTGCAACCTTCTGAGGCCTGGATTTTTCTTGGGGATTTTAATTTTTACAGATCTGTTGAGAATAGAAATAAACCTGGAGCTGATATGAATGACATTTTCATTTTCAATAACATTATCAGTTCTTTGGGTTTAGTTGAAATCCCTTTTAAAGGAAGATCATTTACTTGGAGCAACATGCAAAATAACCCCCTTCTTGAGCAGCTGGATTGGGTTTTCACCTCTAATGACTGGACTCTAAAATATCCCAATACAGTGGTTCTTACTTTGCCTAGAGCTATTTCTGATCATGTGCCTTTTGTAATTAAAATAGAATCATCCATCCCAAAAATGTGTTTCGTTTTGAGAACTATTGGGTTCAGATGGAGGGATTCTTTGATCTAGTGGCACAAGCTTGGAGACTGGACCCTGGTTTTTTTGACCCAGCTAAATGCATTTCTTTTAAGTTAAAGGTCCTCAGAAAGAAGCTGATTTGTTGGAGTAAAGGTTTCTCTAAGCTCTTGACTTTTTTTTTGACGGGAAACAGTAGGAGAGCCTCTCCTACTGTGCTATATTAAATATATATAAAAATAAGGTTACAATATTTACTAAGGGACAAAAATTAGGAAAAGTCATCTATCCATGATTGCCAATCTAGTTTGTCTATCTCTTTTGCTCTGTGCATATGCAGAGCAAACTCCTTCAAAAAATCCTCCTTCCATTTTTCAAACCTGTATGGAACATTGTTGAAGATCAGATCATTTCTTCTTGACCAAATATGCCAGCATCCAATCGCTAAAACTTCGAAGAAGAATCTGTGTTGAAAATTCTGTTTGGCTGATGTGATCATGTTCATGAAATCCATAGCCAAATTCCAGGGAATTCCAATCTTTTGCCAGCACAGTTGTGCTGCAGAACAGGAAAAGAAAAGGTGGTTCCTATTTTCAGTGATTGCAGAGTTGCACAGTACACACTCAGGCCCATTTTTAGATAAATGCAACATAGTGTTATATTTTTTAGATCTAATTGAGGAACTGAGGGCTCTCTCTCTTTTTGAATGGAATTTCAGAGAAATTGTGAAGAAGCATCTCCTGAAACTTTTTCAGTTTAGAAGATCTTACTGGAAAAAAAGATGTACTAGCAGATGGATGCAACTGGGAGAGGAAAATACTAAATTTTTCCATGCAATGGCAACTGAGAGATTCAGGCACAACTTAATAGCCCAGATTAATAGTAATGGATCTGTTTTCTCTGCTCATCATGAGAAAGCTTCTCTCTTTTATGATGCTTTTCAATCCAGAATGGGTGTTTCAACATTTCCAGGAATGAATTTTGAACTTTCAGTGCTCATTCCTACAAATGCTGACCTGGAAAGCCTAGTTGATCCTTTCTTCACTATTGAGATGGATGATCTGGTCAAAAGAATTCCAATAGATAAAGCTCCTAGGCCGGATGGTTTCAATGGTTTTTTTTATCAAAAGTTGTTGGCCTATTATTTCCCAGGATTTCTACAGACTTGCTGCACAATTTCATGCTGAGTTGGCTGATCTTCAATGTATTAATTCTTCTTACATCACTCTGGTCCCAAAGAAGGCTAATCCTGAATGTGTAAATGATTTTAGGCCGATCTCCTTGATGAGTATTTGTTTAAAGTTTTTGACAAAACTTATGGCTGACAGGCTCCAAGGAGTTATTAAGAAGGTTGTGCATGAAAACCAGTATGGTTTTATTAAGGGGAGAACAATCCAGCATTGTTTAGCCTGGTCTTTTGAATATATTCATCAGTTTCAGCAATCAAAGCAAGAAATTCTGATCCTAAAGCTAGACTTTGAAAAGGCTTTTGATACGATAGAACACATTACTATTCTAAGAATAATGGAGCAAATGGGTTTTCCTACCACATGGTTGAATTGGGTCAGAATGGTTTTTGACTCAGCTAGCTCCTCTATTCTTTTAAATGGTGTTCCTGGAAATTTCTTTAAGTGCAGAAGGGGGGTTAGGCAGGGTGATCCTCTCTCTCCTCTGCTTTTTGTTCTTGGTACTGAGCTTTTACAAGCTATTCTGGATAGAGCAATGAATATTGGTTTGTTAACCAAGCCAATAATTGATCAGGGTGGAGGAGATTTCCCTATTGTTCAATATGCTGATGATACACTTGTCTTTCTAAAGGCTTCTTAGAGAGAACTTTTTTGTCTCAAGGCTTTACTTAATACTTTTGCTCAGGACACTGGCCTGGAAATTAACTATCATAAGTCAAATATTTATCCTCTAAATGTTCCTGAAGAAAATATAGAGAATTTTTCTCTCCTACTCGGTTGCAAAGTTGGAATCATGCCTTTCACATACTTGGGCCTTCCAATGGGTTCTACACGACCAAGGGTTGTTGACTTGGCGCCCCTAGTTGACAGGGTTGAAAGAAGACTTACTGCTAGTGCCTCTTTTCTTCCTTATGGTGGGAGATTAACGTTGATCAATTCTGTCTTGTCGGCAATTCCAACTTACTACATGTGCTCTCTTAAGCTCCCAAAGACAGTTATAGAAGCCATTGACACTGCTAGAAGGAATTGCCTTTGGAGAGGTTCGAATACCTTGGTCAGAAGAAGACCATTGGCAGCTTGGGACAAAGTGTGTAGACCAAAGGACAAGGGTGGTTTGGGGGTTATAAATCTATACATCCAAAATGTAGCACTTCTCCCGAAGCATTTACATAAGTTTTATACCGCTGAAGATCTTCCTTGGGTCAGATTAATATGGTCTTCTTATTATGGAACAAAGGTCCCTCATATGGTTTTCAATAAAGGCTCCTTTTGGTGGAGAGATATTATTCAGTTGTCTGATATTTATAGGGCTATTGCTTAGTGCTCCATTCAATCTGGTTCTTCAGTTCTCTTTTGGGATGATTTGTGGAATGGGGATGTAAGAAAGTAGAAGTTCCCTGAACTTTTCTCCCAAACCACGGTGAGGTGGGAATCAGCAAGCTCTTTTGCTAATTTAGTTTTGGAAGATTCTTTCAACCTCCCCCTTAATGCCGAATCATATATTCAGTTCTTGCAATTGCAATCAGAGTTAGACTCTCTAACTTTCGCATCTCTTGGAAAAGGTGATCACTGGTCTTTCGTTTGGAACTCTAGCAATTATTCCTCGAGAAAGTTTTACAAATCTAATTTCGCTGGGATTTCTGTTCCAAGACCTGTGGTTTGGATTTGGAAAATCAAATGTGTGAAGAAAATAAAGGTTTTCATGTGGCTGCTTATTTGGGACAGATTGAATACTAGAGACATGATTGATAGAAGGCACTGTGCACCTGTTGATGCAATTCTAACCTGTGGTCTTTGTGTTGGTTCTAGAGAAACTTTATACCACCTTTTCTTTGATTGCCCTTTTAGTAAGCAATGTTGGCAGCATCTTGGCATCAGATGGAATACAAGTCTGAATATTTGCCAAATGATGGTCCTTGCAAGAGTCCTCTTCAAGCCAAGGGCTTTATGGAGATATTTTCTTTTGCCTGCTGGCACATATGGAAGCAAAGAAATGCACATGTTTTTCAAGATGTTCGACCTGATTTTAATAGGTGGTTGGTTTCCTTTAAGTCTGAAATTCTTCTACATGTTTGTAATTTTTAAAGAATGAATGAATCTCTTTCTTTTTCTATTCTTAGCTGGTTACAAAGTCTGTAATTTTTAAGGTTTTCTGTCTGTTTGTAAATAACTTTTGTTTTCTTTTATAAAATTTAACTACTGGGCAAAGCCCTGGTAGTAATTCCTATAAAAAAACAAGAACATCTTTGCCATAGTATGATTAGAGGAGCCAGAATCCAAATCTGTTTCGTTCTGATGTCCAACAAGAACACCTTGGTCATAGTATGATCAGAGAAATTAAAATCCAAATTTTAATGATTCAAGTTGACAGACATGCATAATTAATAATTTCCTAGCTGATAGTGTGTCCTTGAAGGTTACAGTTTATAGATAGAGAACACTAACCTGGCATTCTGGGTGACCGAATCATACTTTGTACTTAATAAGCTTACAGACCAGATTTCTTCTCAATCATAAGTTCATCGTATAATTATTGGAAATATGGTCATTATTCGGTATATTATAATAAAAAAAACATTATACTAAACATGACATGTGTATAGTTGAATGATCTAGTGATAATACTAAACATGAACATGCTAATAACAAGATAAACATCATCTAACAACATGTTTAACAATGCGATGAACAGTATAACATACCCGGAAAAGGCTCCGTTGTTGGATGAGACTTTGTTGTTGCCACTGTTGGTGTTGTCGTTCTTGCCTCCTCCAGTCCTGCTGCCGGTACGTCCTCCGTTAACGCCTCTTCCAGTTGACATGCTAGTGTAGTGAAAGTAGACGATACAGAAAGTTGACGTAGAGGAAGAAGACGTGGTAGTGCAGAACTGCAGTCGAAGAGGTTGCCGAAAGTAGACGTTGCAGTCGAGAGCAGTCGCGCAAAAGAGCTCCCAAAAACTTGATCACCCGCCTACTCATGCAAGTAGCGCAAGCGGACAGAGTTCCGGAGGCTTGCTCGTCCCAAGCACTCTTTCGCGCAAGTGCTCAGAACCGGGGAAGCAGAGTAAGCAGAGTGGTAGCGCAGGAACAGAAGAACCGAGGAGAAAGATGTGCGAAAGAAAGAACATATGTGTGTCTGTCTATCCCGGTGGTGTACTTATATAGTGCGCGAGAGGGAGAGGAATCTCCTTGTCCATAACCGCGCCACGGTGACACCCACACAGGGCGGCACCAAGGTGGCCACATGGACATTCCATATTCACCCAAGGACAAGGAAGAGAATTTTAATTTGATTTTTATTTTATTTAATCGATTAAATGATGTATGTTTTATTAAAATTACTTCTTGAGCTTAGAAAATTCACGGGAAATCTCAGGGATTACTTTAGGACATGGAGAATATTAAAAAAATATTTTCAGCCATGATTTTTAAAGAAAATTTTAATTCCCTCATTAATTTCATTTGACTAATTGTAATAAATTTTAATATAAATTCTAGAAATGTATTATTTAATGATTTTTAATCCCACTTGAAAATCGGGGCATGACAATTGAGCATGCGAAGGTGGAGAGGAGGAACAATGGTGGTTCATGAAGAAAGATGGGTGGTGGCGGTGCATGGAGCGGCAACTAGTGGTTGCCGGTGGCCCGAGGAGTTTGCTATCGGTACAATTCCCTACCAAGTTCATCGTATTTTTTTTTCTTTGAGTACCATTGACATGTGGGTCACCAATCATTATAAAGAATTAGCTAAAGGTTCTATGCGTTGCAACAGAGATAAAAGCAAAAGCAAAAATTATAAGTTTATAACATTGTTAATTGATTAGGCATGCAATGCCATATATACAAAACAAAAGTATTCACGTGCAGGGATCTTATGGCCCCATATGTTAGCTTGTGACATTGAAGATAAACTTGGACATCACCATTAGCATCATTTAAAGTATAAGGTCCCATTTGATTCTCCAACAAGGATAAAGATTAAGTGCGCATCCAAAACGACACATGTCATTAACATATGATTAATTGAATTTTAATTATTAAAAACTAGAAAAATGGATTTATTTATTTTTTTTAGCAACTTCTATATAGAAAGTTTTAGCACGAAACATAAGAAACGAGAAAAAAAAATCTATATTACATTGCAGTTTAGAACGTGACATAACATAGATATTTAATGCTCGTCTCCTTTAAGATAAAGGCGGCGTAAAAAAATATATATCACGTTACAATTTAGAACAGGACACAACATAAATGTATGACATATATATTTAATGGCTAGTCTCCTTGAGATAAAAAGGCGGCGTAAAAAAAATATATATCACGTTATAGTTTAGAACATGACGTAACATAGATGTGTAGGGTAGATATTTAATGGCTTGTCTCCTTGAGATAAAGGCGGCGTAAAAGAAAATCTATATCACGTTGCAGTTTAGAACGGGACGTAATATAGGTGTGTAAAAGAAAATCCATATCACGTTCCATTTAGAACGGGACATAATAACATACTGGCTCGTCTCCTTGATATGAAGGCAGCGTAAAAGGGGACCTGTAATTGTGATACTGTAAACATTAACCTTTACTTTAATCACAGCGGACGGAGTCCAATATTGCAATTTTCTCGCGCGAAAGAATAATCTCCCGTCTCGTCGTCTACTCCGCTCCTTGTGCCATCTCGCGGCGGAACAGGGGAGGGGAGGGGCGGCGATCTCCATCCGGCGAGCGGCGAGCGGCGAGCAGCGAGCAGAGCAGAGCAGGGGAGGAGATCCTGGTGAGCATCCAAATCCTCTTTCCGATTCATCTCTCTCTCCCACCGGGACTACTTTTGTCCGGAATTTGCTTGCGTTCGTTCGTTAACCCTAGCTTCTCTTCTAGATCTGTGGAAGAAGCTCTTCTCCTCCTTAATTTCAGAATCTTAACCTCTCTTAATACAAGTTGTTACACTTTTGTTTGTTCCCCAAACTCCCATGTCCCAAGTTGGATCCTCCCCTGCTGTGTAGGAACCCATGAATTCCCAAAGTATTTTTCCAAGGGCGATATAGGTTTAGGGCATTTGTTCAGTTATGTTGGAAATATGGCATGATTTCCTGCGTTCCAAACAAGGAAGCAGTGTGAATTGTGATGGAGGCTACTGTGGAAGTTTTAGGGCATATATACAATGGTTGTTAATAGTGGTGCTCTCTTAGCGTTGCTAATTAGGAATACTTGTTGGCATAGAAGAAAGAGAAAGAGGGGAGACAAAACATCGTTGCTTTAGGTTAGCTGATGATGTTTTTGTTTAAATTGCATGTCTTGGGTATGGATAGATACTATTCTAGTTTACCAAGCAGTGGTGGATTTTGTGCTGAATGGTCTGCTTCTAATCATGCTCTTGTGTATGTTCACAGGGCTTCTCCTTTCTTCATAATGTAGGCAATATAGGTTTAGGGTGTGCAGTGAATTAGGAATTGGGATCAAGTGTGTTTTTGACAATTTTTATGGTCATGTTTAGAACCCTTGAATTCCACAGTAATTTCAAAGGAAAACGACTGGTTCTGTGAAATCTGCACTTCCAAACAAGGGTGTACTCTGCAAGTTGTTCTAGTCTGTTCACCTGTTTTTTTTTTTGAATGGAACCTGTCAAATGTTTTAGATTATGCCTTTTTCTCTAGGGGTGCCAAATTGGATCGTAGCGTCGTCTCCGTCTCCGTCTTGTCCACAGCTCCAGGCTCCACTCCTTGTGCTGCCACCCTCCCCTTTGCTTTGGACGTCGCCTCCTCATCAATGCACGCCGAGCGTCGCGTCTTCCTCCAGCTCATCTCAACGCCGGCGGCCGGTTCCACGCGGTGGCCGCGGCGGCCTCTGCCCCTCCGCTCGTTCCTCTCCTTGGGTGGGGGTCTTTAGAGCGCAGGGAGCCGCTCCGCCAGCCACAGCCCACAGGTACCTTCTGCGTGCTGCCTATCCGTGTCCATGTTGGTGTCGACTGCTGCGATCTCTGGTGAAGTGCTGCTTGCCATGGCAGCTGAAGCTAGCAGCATGGGAGAGCGAAGGAAACCAGCTGCACCGAAGCACTGAGCAAGATGGAAAATCCTCGTCGGCGGTATGGGTGGAGCAGTGTTTTTGGATTCGTTTTGGTTTGGAATGGGTTGAACCCATATTTCTGCCTTTGGTTTGGATTGATCCTACAGTTAGACTGGATTGGTTTGGGTTTTATCTCTGATGAATTGATTTGGAAGCACGCTGTGCGACGATATGGAGCGGGGCGGGTTCGGCCTGGATTCCAATCCATTGGCAGTTTGGCACCCTAGGCATGATATTTAAGCTGTTTCCTCAATTTTCCACTTTGATGCTAGAAGGTTTCTCCTTTACAACATTTCACTGTCTGTGACTCTTTAAGGTACTGAATTTTAGAAGTTTAAAGTCTAAGTAGATAGGAAACAGGGTTGGGGCCTATTTTATCTAATTCACACAGTATCTGAAGAATCACATGATGGCTTGATCTTTAATGATTGATTGCTCAAGTTTCTTTTGATATGTATTTGGTTAGTTCTCGCAGTGCAAAGGCATGCCCACCATCTTATGTTAATCTATTTCGCTCTAAGATTGCTAGTGCGAGTGCATATGCACTGCAGCTGTGCTTCATGCTATGCTAATCCATTTTATTTTAGTATATTTTAGTGTGTAATGTATCACCATTAATTTTTTGACAGAATCTAATATATCAAAATGTATGCCATTCAAGCTTTGTTACTTGAGTATTCCATGTGTTTTTGTAGCTCCTGATCGTTTGCTTGTTTATATATCAGATTCATGTTCTTCATTTCTGTGCTGGTTAGTATTTCCAATCACCAACGCTTTCTTCAAGAATGGAGGTATGCACAACCATCTCATTTTATTCAGGTTGTTCTTAGAAAAATATAGCTTACCTGGATTGTGCAGATTAACTTCTTACTTTGTTTTCAGTATATATCTGTCTTTTTCTTTAAATCTAATCAAGTCTGGAGATTGTGAATCTAGAATTTGTTAGAGAATATAGCGCACACTATCCTATTACTTCATTCATTGTACAGTTCAATTTAAGCAACTGTTGTAGCTGGATTTTATGCCAGTCTACTTTCACGTTTCTATATTTACAGAACAGGATAATCTATAAACATTGAAGATCAAGCTTATAATTTTTCATGGCATTTGTTGGATTGTTGAGTTTCTATTTTCTTTAATAATATAATAATTTCTGAACATATTCTGGAAAGTTCAGTTACTGGATGCATCTAGGAGTATGAGCTAAGTTCAGGGCTATATGATTTGAATTGTTGTCATTAGACATTCTGGTTGTGACCACAGTATCATATGACAAGTATATTGTCTTGTTTTTGTTTATTAAGATATTTTCTGATTGTTTCCTACCTCTTGCTGCAATTATTTATTTGCATGGTATAGAAGTAAATCGAAGTTGCACAGTTCCCACTCCCTTATCAGCACCATGTGACAAACTGCAGCAATGCTAATCTGGATTGTTTCAGTTACAGGAGGATGAATCCAGTGACGAAGTGTTCATGAAGCAGATGCTAAGGAATCTGATGTTTCATGAACTTAACCGAGCAAATTATAGAAACCAGTTACCAAATGTTTACAGCATTTGTACAGTTCAAATTGAGCAACTGTTGTAGTTGGAGTTTTATGTCAGTCTGCTTTCACATTTGAAAATTTACAGTTACACAACAGGGTAGTCAATAAACATGAAAGTAAAAAAAGAAAATCAAGCTTATATTTTTTATGACATTTTCTTCCATCGGTGATATCTCTATTCTATTTTATTTGGTAATAATAATTTATGAACAACTGAATTCATCTAGGAGTAATGGAGTATGAGGTAAAGTGCAGTAGTGCTGTCATTGGCATTCTGGATGCAGCCACAGTATATGCCATTTATCTTGTCTTGTTTGTTCATTGAGATATTTTCTGTTAATTTTCTACCTCTTGCTGCAATTATTTATTTGAATGATACAAGTGGAAGTTGCAGAGTAGATTTAACCGTTCCAATCCCTTTATTAGCACCATGTGACAAACTGCAGTGATGCTAATCTGTATGGCATCCATTACAGGAGGATGAAACCAGTCATAAAGCATGTGCTGATAAAATTTTTCTCAATTAAGTTCATGAGACATCAGGCAACTTACCATTACAAATGTTTACATAATTGCAGCCATGAAAAACTGGCATGGCTCATATGAATCCTTGTTATCGTTATGTACATGTTAGCTGATTTGAGGCCACAGTAATCCTTCAGCCGCATTGCTAAAGGAACCTGTGCCAGTCTTACATCTTTTGTTAGGTGCACTACTATACATGAGCCTAGGACCACTGCTCTTCGGCTTGTGGGTTAGTTTACATGATTTACATACATATCTCTTTGGAACCCTATCAAAATCACTGATTCCAGCACACCTAGTGTGCATCCACATATGGCAAGTGTCACAGGATAGCATTCTCTCACCGTCATCGTCCGTTGCTCCACAGGAGCATTTAACTGTCCATTTGTCCACACCCCTCTCCATCCGGTAAATTGCAAACCGTCTTTCACCACCAATGCACCTGCCTTTGATGTGGACAGCCCCCTTTGCTCCAAACAAGAGCTTGATTTGTGTTGTGTCGCTTGCAGTTGCACAATCAAGAAGCTGGTCAGCTACAAAACTCTGTAACATTAGGTAGATGTCTCGAAATGCTCTCGCAGCCTCCCCTTTGAGATCAGCGATAGTTGCTGCCTGTGGAAGAGTTATGAGCTCTGCTGGGATACAAGGTGGATCATCAACCTGGTCAGCTAGTTCCACTTGGCACCAAATGTGCAACTGGGATGGGTTTTGAGGTAAGAAGTCTTCTTCCAGATCATAATGCTTGATGAATTGCTTGCAGTCCAAAAGGATCATTGCAGACCTCTTGGCATGCTGATAATTTTCTTCTGGCATATAAGGATGCATTGTGTATGGGTAGAGAAGCGCATCATACAAGAACTTGATGTCACGGAATAGGTGGTCTTGGGTTAGGGTGCACACGTTGTTTGGTGGGAAGAGGGTTTCAGTCGTAAGCCTGCAGTGAGATAGTAGTTAGAATTTGGATCATGAAACAAGCACTTAGTTAGCATGCAAGTTGTAACAAAGATATGAGCCACCAACCTGTACTCTACAGTGTTCATCTCACTGTTGCATCGAATTGCAACAACCATCCCATCGTCAGTTCTTGTACCACCAAGGGTCTTGATGCAGTAATCGACCAGCTGTGGCGAACCAATTGGATGGGATGTAACTGCCTTTAGTGTCCGTGTAGCAACCCATCTATCTGCAGCACGGAGAATTTTGAGAGCAATGTTTGTTGCTCGCTGTAATTCCTCTTCAGGGAATTCCTCTTGATAATTGGCATCATATGCCATTTTCTCTTTGTGCACACTCTTGCCGGTGGCAAGCTCCATTATATAGGCGAACAGTTCACGGATTGTGGTGAGAGGGTGCCTTGAGAGAGATTGGTAGAATGCAATGGTATTTTGTAACTGGTTTCGTGGAGATCGGGTGTGAGGGAAGAAGTTAGAGAGTGGCACTGAGGATAGGCTTTCTACAGCTTTGGAGTAGTCTTGAGGTGTGATTCCAAAGCTTCCGCTGCTAAGTTTGAATCCCCACAGGCCATACCAAGAACAGCCAGTGGCAACAGCATGGAGGCTTCGGTAGTCAGCTCCATACTTCTTCGAAACATCTATCACTGAGACTTTTCTGCAATTTATCAAGTTTTTTGACATGTTAGTATCATCTGCTGATTATAAATTAGAAGTGTTGAATTGAATGATATTGGCTTTGTTTGTGTTGAGTTCATTAATCATAAATCATCACTTTACCTGACCCTGAGGTATCTGCAGAGCCGATCCCAGAAGTTAATCAGTTGGGATCCTGTCATGACGCTGGAGCCTCCCTCACGGCCATTAATCCGAACAAGGTGGCCAAACCCGTTTTCATGGACTATGCCATGCAGCAGATGCCGTGGACTCTCCAGCTGCACATAGTCCCAATCTTCCGGATCATCCCGTGAGAGGCCAACGTGGTTGCAGGACGGACATCTGAGGACAACATTCACAAGATGAGGCCACACAGTTGAGTATTTATTTTCTTTCCCTAATCATACAAACTTTTGCGAATTCCTGATTGATGAAAATTGGCAATGGAATTAGAAGCCGATTAAACCAAACCTTGTTTCCTGCAGTGCCACCATGAACCCGCAACGCCTGCAGGTTTTGGAGGTGCCAGTTTCATTCTCATTGCGAATTATGAAGTGGTACCTCTTGGAGCAAACAGGGTGCTTGCTCCAGCCTATGTAACAATAAGGCAAGTAAATTTAGATTTCATCCAGAATTGAGTTGCAATAATAAGCAATCAAACATATCTATATATCAATCAATCCAGCTCATTTTATAGCGCTGGAATAGTTATAATAACATCTAGATTTGTTCAGTTCACAACCGGCATGCAAACATTACAATGTATGTAAGGCAGCAATTTGCGTAGTTCAATCCAGACGTTGCAGAGATTAATGCATTCCGACGAATTTAGTTCAAGTGTGAATGAAATATAGATACATGAATAACGGGCTTTCACCTCCCTCAAACTTTTTTTTTCTCATTTGCACTTCAATTATATCATTTTCTCCTCCCAAAATACTGCTCCTTCATCAATTTTCTTTTTCACTTCAGTTCTTATCTTTTTTTCCATCCTCCCAAATAATAAATTTTTTCTTCCTCCACTTCAATTTATCTTTTTTTTTCATCCTCCTAAATACATTCCCAATTTATTGCAGAGGCAATCCAAGTTCATTCAAACATAATATGACATCATTTATGTTATTTCAGAGGATACCAATATAAATCTGCTATTTGCATAGGCTTAAGCTTATTGGCATAGACTTTTAAGTCAGCTTATTAGCTTATATGATTTATAAGCCGGTGGATTTAATGTCCTAAGTTTAGTAGTTGAGTCATATATCTACCTCACTTAAGCCAAAAAAAACTTCTCCAACCTAGCTTTTGGCTTAATAGTGTTAGAGTGGCTTATGGCTTCAAAAAAGCCAAACGGAAAAGCTGCTTGTTTGTTTAGACTTAGACTTTTCGACTTATAAGTTGGCTTATAAGCCTAAACAAAGAGGGCCTACATGCTATAACTTCACAAGAGAAAGAAAGTACCAAACATGCATATCTTTCTAGCTCATCTCAGAAAAACTTGCAAACTACAGACATCAGAAATGGAAACTCTGCCTTTGCCACCATGAATTCCACCACCCCAAAAAACCCAAAAACAAGGGAAAAAAGAAGAAATCAAGTAATCCTAATCTGATCTGAGATTAGCGACACAACAAATCCCCTCTCGAAAGCAGCATCTGAGTCAACTCACCGGCAACAGTGCAGTGCTCGCAGTAGACCCGCCTGGCCCTGGCCACCTCCTCCTCCACCACCTCCATCACCGCCACCGCCTCGCCGCCGGCGGTGGTAAACCCCACGTGCCACGACGACATGCCCGGCGACAACTCACCCGCCTCCGACGCCGGCACCGCCACCGCGCACCGCGCCAGGAACCCCCTCACCTGGGCCCGGAACGTCGACGACGACGACGACGACTTCTTCCCGCCGCCGCGCGCCGGCTGCTTCTCCCCCTCCTCCTTCTGCCCCGGGAACGCCCGCACGTCGAGCAGCGACGGCTCCGCCGTCACCCGCGCCCGCTTCGGCACCCGGCCGCCGCCGCCGTGCACGGCCACCGCCGACGCCCCCCGTCTCCGCACCGCCATCGCCCCCCCGCGCTCTGGTTTGGTCGCCGAGGGGGTTTGAAAATTTTCGAATGGGGGAGGAGAAGGGAAGGGGGAGAGGGTGAGAGGAGAAAGCGCGCGAAAATCGCGCGCGCGCGCGGGATCTGGTAAAATTTTCGGCGGAAATTTTCTTGGGTTTGGGTTTCGGATCTGGAATCGGATGAGGCGGGGCGTGTATTTTTATAGACGAGGTAGATATCGTAAGTTAATCCAACTAAGTCGGTTCGGGTTTCGTGTGGAATTACGACTTTGCCCCCGCGAAGCGAAAGTGAACACGTCAGCTGCAGGGTGTGAACTGGGAAAGTGGAAAGGTCTCGCGGGCGGGTGGTGGGGCCCACATGGCTGCATTGCATTTATTTACGCGTCTGCGTGTACGGGCTGGATCTGGGGTGTTAATGTGGGGTTAGCGGGCTGGGCCGTGGAATGGTCCCGTTGGTATGCAAGCCTGCGAGTAACGATGGGCTTAGGAAATTTGGTAATGATAATTTTTGGCATATTTTTTATTACCTAATTTGTAAAGGGGAAATCACAATGGGGTATACTAGAGATTTAAGTTTGGAAACTTCTATAGTTACCAAAATTAGATTTGTAAAGGGGAAACCATAATGGGGGTAGACTAGAGATTTAAGAGTGGAAACTTCTATTATTACCAAAATTAGGTTTGTACCGATGGTAAGCATGTGTTTGGCTTGTTAGCCTACCAAACTTTTTAGTGATGATAAAATTTGGTACGGTTAAAAATAGTGATAAACTTGATACTTACCATGTTATTATTAATACGATGTCCACAATTTTCTTAGAAAATATATTACAACGATTGAGCCTTTAAACCCTAACTGTTTTGCTTTAAGATTACATGTAGTCTTTTGCTTAATCTGTTATATCTATCATCTTATACGAGCGTATCAAGCCTTTAAATATATTAAGCTTGTTAAAATTTTCACACTGTCTCGATTTGGTTTGATCTGTTGGGATTATAATTTGTTTAATAGATTTAACTACAACTTGATATTCTATATATAAGGTTGTATCGGAACTATAACCAATATGTTATATTAAATTACCCGAGTTACTTCATCGGCTACAACATAAATCCGTATAATTATTAATTTATCCGATCTTGGTTATAAGCAATTTACAAAAAAAATTTGAATACAAACAAGGATTCAAGCTTTGAATACAAACAGGGATTGATGAAATAAAACTGGATATGAACAAGGAAACATATTGTAAATCCTCGCCTCTTGACATTATCCTCACCTTGTCACATTGAATGTTTAGACACATGCATAGAGTATTAAATATAAACGAAAAAAATAACTTATTACACATATTGCGTGTAAATTGCGAGACAAATCTTTTAAGTCTAATTGCGCCATGATTTGATGATGTGGTGCTACATTAAATATTTGCGAATGACGGATTAATTAGGGTTAATAAATTCGTCTTGCAGTTTACAGGCGAAATCTATAATTTATTTTGTTATTAGTTTATGTTTAATACTTTAAATGTGTGTCCGTAGATCTGATATGACATGCCAAAACTTTATACCCATGGATCTAAACACCCCCTAAGCCGGTTCAGTGCGCTGTAGTACTAGTAATGCCGATAGGTTCTGTTATTAACGGGGGATAGGTTGGGTGTTTTTTTTTTTAAAAAAAAGAAGAAGATGAGGTTTGGTTTATTTTTCTTCTTTCGAAGATTAGATCGGTCATCTTAGATTAAACCATCAAGGATATATGATAATAGATAAATATTTAGGTTGAAAGTTTTAGAATATAAGTTAAAAGTTTCACAATTTAAGTTGAAAGTTCAAATATTAGTGTAGAATTTTTTAGAATTTCAGTTGAAAGGTTTAAATCTATGTCGAAAGTTTTAAATTTTGAGTTGTGTTTAAAATTAACAGCAATGAGTTTAAAATTTTGAGTTGGAAGTTTTAAATTCAAGTAGAATTTTCCAAATTTCTATTATAATAAAGTTTCAATTATAATTTATGAATTCAAATATTCAAAACCAAAGTATATGTTTTAATGTACCATAAAAAGTTTTTGTCAATGATTTAACTTTTTAAGTGAAATTGGGTAGAATATACGTGGAACAGCTCTTTGCACGCTATCAATGTAGAAAATATGGGTTACCTCATAGAGTGCACATAATATCACATATAATGCCATGTTGGAAAACAGAACCCCAAATAGAGATGTTGACTTAAAAAGGGCAGACAGAGTATTACACGAAGACAACCAAGACTGCTTGGATTCGTATCTTGCCTCTAGACTCTATGGTTCTATTTGTATAATTGTATAAGGAGCACATGAAGTTATAAATACGGTATCGGTCTTCGGTCTTTCGGTCTTTCGGTTAGTTCGGTTATTGAAAAGTAAAGACCAAATAACAACACAAAATTTTTAAGACCAGCAAATTCGGTCTCGACCCTGACCGAACTACGCCAATTTCTAGAGATAAAATTTGCAATGATAAATTTTGGAAGCACTTAACCTCTTTTTAGACAACTTTTGTCAATTATATCTCTACTATTATAAAAAATATAGATGTTTTTGCCGATACTTTGGTACGTTATTTGTATTTGAGTCGGTTTTTAAGTTTGTTTGTTTTTGAAAATATATAAGGAGTCATATAAGAAATCCTTTAAAAAACTCGCATGCTATGTTAGAATGAGAGTCATGCTCCTAATTGCTTTAGAATTTTTGTCAGACATAAGAAAGCAACGCACAAGATATGGCTATTATCCCAATAAGGGTTCAGAATTAGATATAAATATTATCCAAATAAAAATCCCATATACTTTTTAGATAAAAAAATCTAACAATAATACGATTAAAATACAGGCATTTTTCTAGTATCACAAAAATACAAGATAATAGGTAACATCAAACACCAAAAAATATATCACAAGATATGATCAGGTAGCATGAATCACAAGCATCATACACTTGCTGTCAACTTCACATGACATGCAGTACATCACAAATTACAATTTAGATACATCGGTCAATTTGGTTAACCGAGGCCACTGACCAAATTGACTGAATAAATCTCGGTCTTTTGCTTGTTGAGACTAAACTAATGACTAAATTTCTCTGTCTCGGTTTTTTCGTTCGATCTTATTATACCCACCCCTATTCATATGCACATATTTGACTAATGACCGGTTAGGTTACGATATATGTGCACAAAAACTATTTATTTGGTCTCATGGTGTGTGACTTTTGAGTCAACTTTGGATCGGATAATTCAAGGAACCACGGTCTAGCAAGATGCTGGATGGCAAGCTTAGGCTGTATTCGGTAGATGATGTTAGGAACTATTCCTTCACGCACGTAAAAGAGAATGATTCATTAGCATGATTAATTAAGTATTAGCTACTTTTAAAAAAAAGATAATATGATTTTTTAAAATAATTTTTCTGTAGAATTTTTTTTTGAAAAACACAACTATTCAATAGTTTAGGAAACGTGTACGTGAAAAACGAGGAAGGTAAGTTGGGAGCAATGGCTGTCGAACAAAGCCTTAAAACTTAATCGACCACGTAGTTGTTGATAAGCTTCACGAGGTCGGTTGTGCAAAGTTCCATGATTTTTCAGAAACAAGAAAATGAAGAAAAATCAGAAGATAAAGGAGATGGGAGAAAGCTTGGACCTTCGTCTCCCTCAACCTGGAGGCCCATCTGGAGTGAGGAGGCCCAAGTGGGTGTCACTACAACCTGGAATTTTTTTCGGTTATAGATTTTTTTTAATATTTACAGAAATAATCTATCGGCCAAAAAAAATTACAAAAATAGACCCTACCGCCCACCTCTGGGGCGGCAAGCTGACGTGGCAAACGGGGGAGGAACGGGCGGTGACGGAGGGAGGGTTTTTTGCAGGAAAACCCTTGCCGCCCTCTGGTGGGGCGGCAAGGGGTCCGAATGCAAAAAAGCCAGTCGGGGCCGGCTATTTTGCAGGCGGCCCCTTGCCGCCCTCTGGCCGGGCGGCAGGCCTCACTGCCTATAAAAGGCCTGTTGCCCAGCCCCCAGCCCTCATTCTTCTCTCCTCAATTCCAGTGAAAAAAAAAGAGAGGGGAGGAGAAGAGAAGAAGGGGCGAAGCCCTGCCGGATTCAGACGCCGATTTCAGGTAATATTCATAGATCCTATATGTGTCTATTGAGTTAAATAGTGTGTATTTTTTAAAAATTTGTTTGAATAAATGCATTATATTTTTAGGGTTTTAGTTGTACTAATCTAGAAGTGCGTATTATAGATATCGGTAACTACGTAGATCTGCTAGTTTGGAATCAATACATTACCGTTGCATTGGCTTACACAAGAAGATATTACGTTGTAGATGTTTATTGCATGAAAGAGTAATATGATCTAGTTATTTCGTTGACAGATATGTCGAACAAACAAATATTCCAAGTTTACCATGGACCAGGAAACGTCCGTTACGGGCCAACTGGGGTAGATCTGTCAGATTTTATTGTATCAGAAAGGGGAATTGATAGACCGGCTGAGAGGAGTGTACCTTCTATAAAAGGATGGTTAATGAGGGGCTTGAGAGTTGATCCACAGACAAGTGACATAACAATCAATGTTATAGTAAGTCGGGCAACTGAGGGTTTTTATTGGGAACTAATGCCAGTTCAAAACTCTCGAGTGTGGAGATGGTATTTGGAAAATGCATTGCAACGCGGGTGGCCTCTAGATTTGGTTCCGTTTGTTCACCCGAAGGATCCAGGTGTGCAGATGAACATGGATGATGGCGAGGGACCAAGTACTGAAGTAAACGAGACTTCTGTGGAGGAGGTCAACGCACGAGAGGACGGGGGCGTAGTAGCTCCAGTGGGCATTCAACCAGGTGGAGTGGCCGATGAGGGGGAGACTGTCGGTGCCATTGTGGATGAAATGGAGAGGGAGGATTCTGACAACGAGCGTGTAGAGGAAGGTGATTCGTCAGATGATGAGACAAATATTAATCCAGCAGAATGGGCTAGTGAGGATTTTTCTGGACTGATCGTCTCTGAAGAGGATAGTGTGAGATGGGAGTACAAAGAAAATGAGGTTATTCAGGGAGCGATTTATAGTAGAGCAGAAGATATGAAGGAAGCGGTAAAACATTTTGCAGTGTCACTTCATAGAGAGTTTAGGGTTGCCAAGTCG